TGGGGACTGGTCCAGGAATAGTGGGGCTCGGCCACTTGCTGCCACAATTCAGGGGCTCATTTTAAGAAAGAGAATAGGAAAAGCTTTCATTTTGCTAATTTCATAAAAATATATGGCTACTAGGCTGGGCTTGGTGGCTCATGCATATAATCCTAGCACTCTGGGAGGCTGAGGTGAGTGGATTGCTCCAGCTCCGAAATTCAAGACCAGCCTCAGCAAGAGCCATACCCTGTCTCTTAAACAAAAATTAGCCAGGCATTGTGGTGGGTGCCTCACTTGAGCCCAGGAGTTTAAGATTGCTGTGAGTTCTGAGGCCATGGCACTCTATTTAGGGCAAAAGATGCAATATACCTGGCCCAGTATAATTTCAACATATAATCATGCTAAAAAATTATGAACGACATACTTTAAAGGTTTTTTTCCCAGAGTAAATCTTCAATTTCTAGAATACATTTTACAGTTACAGGTGCACCACCTACATTCCAAGTGCTCAAAGCAACATGGGACCTGGGGACCATGCTAGACAGCACGACCTTAAATGCCCCCTGCTGTTCTAGACTTTCCATCATAGATGCTGATGGATGTTCTTATTACTGAGGCATTTTTAGTTCATATTACGTTATTTTTAACACAGTTGCATTCCCCTTACCTTCAGATGGACCACACACACACAATCACACAACTACAATGTTACACGAAGATAAAATCATACACACCAGTGACTGGCTAAAGAATGGTGCTTCAGAGATGCCCTCCCTGAACCCTAAGTATGCCTCATGTCACATGTCAAAGGGACATAGCAAATATAATCAAGATTTCTGACTTTAGCCTGGGCATGGTGGCTCATGCCCGTAATTCTAGCACTCTGGGAGGTCGAGGTAGGGAGATTGCCTGAGCTCAGGAGTTTGAGACCAACCTGAGCAAGAGTGAGACCCCATCACTACTAAAAATAGAAAAACAAGCCAGGTGTCGTGGTAGGCACCTGTAGTCCCAGCTACTTGGGAGGCTGAGGCTTCAGCCCAGGAGTCTGAAGTTGCTATGAGCATTCTACCCAGGGCCACACGAACCAAAAAGAAAGGTTTCTGACATTAAGTGGGAACCTTATCCAGGGTTATGAGGGTGGCCCAGTCTCACACGAGCCCTTGGGGGAGAGAACTTTCTCTGGCTGGAGGCAGAAAAGAACTGTGGCAGAAGAGCGGTGGGAACAAGTCCAAGTGTGAGACGACCTTGATGTGTCACTGTTGGTTCCAGCAAGATGCAGGGCCTGGGTGGCAGGAATGGGGAGAGGCTCTGAGAGCTGAGGATGGACCCCAGATCCAGAAGGAAGCAGTGATCCCAGCCCTATGACAGCAAGGGACAGCCTTCTGCCAACCACAGGACCCAATGGGAAGCAGCCTCCTTCTGGCCCCAGCAGGAGCCAGAGTGGCACTTGATTCCAGCCTGGGAGACCCAGAGGAGGAAGGCTGACAGGGGAGATGGGACGCTGACTCACAGGCCTTCCAGCTAATCAATGTGTGTCTTTTTAAGACACTATATTTCTGGAAATTTTCTATGGCAGTAGTATAAAAGAAGAACACCCTAACACACACAGAGTCCCACTTGACAACAAATGTCTTCTACTTATAGTTTATTTCAACAAAACTTATAAAAAGTAGAAAAATAAACATTGTATGGGAAGTTAGTTTGAGAATTCACACACATAAATACATAAATAGTGAAGGCTGGCAATAAATTAAGAAGTTGAGGCATAAATAAAATCTCCGAGTCCACGACAGGTGGCAGGTGGGTTCAGGTTCTCAGACACACGGTGTCCATCAGCAACACATTTCAGGTTGTGTTTGAGGAGGTGGTAGAGGTGGAATGTGATGGAGGCCTCCAGACAGCCAGGGGACTCCTGAGAGGGAGGAAGGGATGGGTTGGTGGCTGTCCAGCGTCTGGGCTCTCAAGTCCTGCCCACACACCAGTCCCTCTCCTGATCAGTCACTCACCTTCTTCGGGGCCTCCTGGAGTTGGTGCAGCCAGTTCCGAAGGTGACCTCGGAGTCTGGGGCCTGCTGTGGGCTGAACCCGGCCCTGTGGGCAGAGAGTGTTGGTGTGAGGCAAGGTCTGGCCTCAGGATCAGTGTGTCAGTCAGAGCCCACAGACATGGGGGTCCCGGGGCCCGAGCACTCACACAGGCCTGGAGCTGGGACTGGATGTGGCGCAGTGTGTGAAGGGGCTGGTCCAGGACGTCCCTCAGGGCCTCCTCAGTTACAGCCTCCAGGACCTTCAGTGTCAGGGCCAGCTCAGCCTCCAGGGTCACAGGGCGCTCCCACACCTGAGGAAGAAGGAAGACAGGAGAGATTCCATGTGAGAGAGAACAGGTGGAGGGAGAGAGGAACAGGTGAGGATGACAGGTGGGGGACAGGCTAGGAAAGCCACTGATGTGGGACCTGTGGTAGGTCCAGCATGAGGGAAACGGGAGAGGGGAACTCATGAGGAATAATGCAAATGAAGACGACACAGGTGAGGCAGAAACAATCAGGAGAAGACAGGTGAGGGGACAGATGACACGTGGGAAAGGGAAGGAGACTTAAAGAGATCACAGACTTTTCATGGGATAGAGTTTGGGGGCAGGTAAGGAGAGAACCAGTTAGGAAGGCAGGTGAGAGAGAGAGACAGTGATGTAAGAGACAAGTGAGTGAGATAATGGGACAGACAGGAGATGAAAAAGAGGACCCAGGGGGAAGACAGTGTCAGGGAAACGGTTGAGGAGTGATAGAGGCACAGGACAAGTGAAAAGAGAGCAGAGAGAAGGATGAACCAAGGATAAAGAAGGTGAAAGGGGGCAGCGCCTGTAGCTCAAAGGAGTAGGGCACTGGCCCCATGTACCAGAGGTGGCAGGTTCAAACCCAGCCCCAGCCAAAAACGCAAAAAAAAAAAAAAAAAAAAAGAAGGTGAAGGGGCCAACTATGGAGATAGTGGAGAGGGACAAGGTCAAGGCCAACTCACCTGTAGCTGCCTCAGGAAGAGGTGAGCACTGCAGCTCCAGTTTATCTGCGAGATTGAGTTTTCCTAGACAGAAAGGGCACAGATTAGCCCAGAGCAGAAAGGCTGGACGCTAGCCCCTGGCAGCAGAGGTGAAGGTTGGCTTCATTTATGAATGTCCCCCACAACAGAAAGGGCAGAGGTTAGACACAGCTAGGAAGCCAGAGGCTAGCCCCTAGTGAAAGGACAGAGGTTAGCCCATAGTAGCAGACAGCAGCTTGGCTACTGTAGGGGGTGGAGGTTAGCCCACAGCAGCAGGAACTCACTAAGTTGGCCTTCTTGAAGGTTTCTACCTCCTGAGGTGACAGAGATTTGAAAGTGCCAATGTGGCAGCCCCTCCAAGTTGTGTTGAGCTTAGAAGTGGGGACAGGGCCTGCTGTGTCAAGCCCAACACCACAATCCCCAGCACCAGGATCCATGCTGCAGCCATGGCCAGGTAGCAACTGCCTGCTGGGTGGCATGGCTCTGCTTTTTAGGTGCGCTAAGTGAGGGACCCTGGATGATGTATGCAAAGCAAAAAGGCAACTGGAATTTCCACTTATAAGGGATGAGGGGGTGGAGGCGGCTACGTGTACAGGTGTGGGAGGGCCAAGTCAGCCTGGGGCTGTGGCAAGGATAGAGAAATTTTGAGAAAGACCCAGGAGAATCTTGGCCCAGCAGGGTGACTCACACCTGTCATCCTATCACTCTGGGAGTCTGAGGCAGGAAGATGCCCTGAGCTCAGGAGTTCGAAACCAGGCTGATGAAGAGTGAGACTCCATCTCTACTAAAAATAGAAAAATTAACTCTCAGTGAGTCCCCAACAATTAAAAAAAATAAAAATAAAGATAGAAAAATGTAAGGGTATAAGTGAATCTTTCTAAAACTAGAGTATAAATGTCTTAACACAATAACTAAGTAAATGATATAAAGTCTATGTTAACCAGTTTGAGGAAAATATTTCAAATTGTATATGAAAACACTACAGTGTACCCCATGTTTGCATTAATGTACACAGCTATCATTTAATAAAAAATAAAAAAGATTTTGCCAAAAAACAAAAAAAGATAGAGAAATGAGTCAGTGCTGATGGCAAAGGCCTCTAGTCCCAGTTACTTGGAAGCCTGAGGCAGGATCATTTTAATACAGGAATTTGAGGTTGCTACGCTAAGGCCAAGGCACTCTAGCCTGGGCAACAGAGTGAGATCTTGTCTTAGAGAGAAAGAGAAAGACAGAGAGAAAATGTCATTTGGATTCTCTGGGCAGCCTTCACTAAGCTTTTGGAGTCCCTGACAGGCTGAGTTAGAGGGATGGGAAGCTGGCTTAAGACTTTCACAGCAGGGCAGAGCCTTGATGGGGGGCCAGGGGAGTATGTGAGGTTGTCTGAATGGCAGAGAGGGAGGTTCCACTATTGGTTTAAGAATATTCCATGAACTACCTCACTTTATGCTCCTAACATTTCCATGAGCAATTATTTTCATAATTGTGATGATGAATTTTGGATGTCAGATTGACCTGTTAAATGACACTCAGATAGTTAGTAAAGTATTATTTCTGGAAATGCCTATGAAGGGGTTTCCAGAGAAGACTGGCACTTTAGAAGTGGGGTGAGTAAGGCAAACTTGCCCTTGCCCATGGTGTGGGCACCACCCAATGGGCTGAGGGCCTGAACAAAAGAAAAAGGCAGAGGAAAGGTGGGATAGGTGAGGGGTCACAGCCAGTCTGGTGTGCCAGTCAGGTGCAGGGGGGTGGGTAGGGGGAGGAGAGAGGGATATGCCAGAAGGAGAAGGTTATAGGGCCAACTACACAGTCAGAAGACCAGGGTGAGGAGGACGGGGATGGGCCTGACTCTGTCACCTCACCTGCAGCTGCCTCAGGCTCCAGGGCCGGGGGAAGAGGTGGGAGCTGCCTCTGCAGTCCTCTGGCAGGAGAGACTCTTCCTAAGAAGCAAGGGCACAGGTTAGCCCCAGCACCAGGGGTGAAGGTTGGACCTCTCTGGTGGGCCTGGAGCATGGCTAAGACAGGACAGTGGGAGTGCGGGGTCACTGCCAGGAGGATGGTGGAGGCACCTCCCCTGCAGGAGGACATGAGTCAGGCTGGCAGCCAGGGCTGGAGTTGGCCACTGCAGGGAGGGTGGAGGGCAGCCCAGGGAGGGAAGTGGGAGGTCCTGTGTCAGCAGAGTTAGTGCTATAGCCTTAGAAGAAAGGGTAGAGTTTGGCTCCAACTGGAAGGGATGGTGGGAAGACTCACAAAGGCATCTTTGATCCTCTTGAAGGCCTGTAGCTCCTTTGGGGACAAGGACTTGAACTGCAGTATGGTGGTCTTGCAGCACTGGGGAGGAGAAAGGGACAGAAGGACCTGCCTGTCTGCAGGATGTCCCAGTGCAGGAGGGGGAGGGAAAGGGCCCTGCCAGGAGCTCCCTGGAGCTCTCTTAGGAGAAGAGGAGACCCAGGAAGGAGGCTGCTGGGGTGGGGAGAGAGTAAGAAAGCCAGATCACCTGAGATTTAAGAAAGACCAGCTCTCTCTACCTTTCTGCATCTGTTATGAAGACGGAACGCACAAAGGTAGAGCCAACCCCTCCTTAAAATATTTTTTAATTGTTCAAGCAAAGAAGGACCTAGGAATATGAGGTTTTACTCAGCAATTAAGGTGGGGCCATGGAGCTCCGGGGCTTCAGATCCATTTGTGACCATTGCTTTAATTTATTCAACAAGTATGTGTATTTATTCATCCTCCACCTATGCCAAGAGCATTGGAAACAAAAAAATGCACAGAACAATACTTTTAGAGCTTTTTACTAGACAGGAGTAACAGATGATATTGTGGGGGAAGGTAAGGATGTGTTATATATAATGCCAATAAACGGAGAAAATAAGGCCAGGACAAAGGCATAGAGTAGACAGGAGGAAGTTTGCATTAAATGAGTTGTCTTTAAAAAGTGCCATTTAAGCAAAGAGCTAAAGGAAGTGAGGAAGGAGTCCTGTGAAGCCTGAGAGAAGAGCCTTGCAGGCCAAGGTTGCAGTCTTACAAAACAAAGAGACACTCTTTTTGTTCACTTTCACGTCCAGCTTCGTCATGGAGGCTTTGTCTCAATGTACCACTGGATATCCAAGATAACAACAAGGGCACACGGTGGTTTGCCTACTTTTTCAATAAGTAGTGGCTAGCTGGGGTGCAGAGAGGTTAAGACACTTTCCCAAGGTCACACAGCATATAAGTAGTGAGGTAGGATTCTAACTGAGTTTTGCTTGACACTGGAAGGGTAACCACTGCACTCTACAACCTCTTGTGTGCTTAGATCTCTGGACCCAGAGGTGAGGGACGCCTGGGAGAGAACGTGCTGAGTCCTTTTTGGCACTTGACTTCCATCCACAATCCC